TTGTGTGTGTGTGTGTGTGTGTGTGTGAGAGAGAGAGAGAGAGAGAGAGAGAGAGAGAGAGAGAGAGAGAGAGAGAGAGATTAGTCAAATCTGTTCTTCTGTTTAGGAAAGTTTGGATTGCTCTTACACTACAGCTATTAGCACTTCCGTCTATACAAATGATCAATACAGCAATGCAGGACACATCCTTAATTACTCAATTACGTGCTTACTTTTTAACTCTCTCTAGTAGGGCTGAACGTCAACTAGACGGCAGCGACACAATTAAGAGGTAATTAATTACCATAAATAGTGAAGGCGGATGAGGAAGGTGTTAAGTGTATATCCTGGTCGGCCGTATAACTCGTACGGGTACCACGCTGGTCTATATATATCACAATCGATCTCTTAGATTGATATTTCCTGTCAACAAGCAAACATTGTTACATATGTTGAAACGTTAATTTGGCAGTCTCCTGTGTTTAATCAAGAAAAGTTTACTGCAAAATGATGGAAGAAATACTGATTTTGATAACCCCATTGTTTTAACAGCTCAAAATTAGTATTTGTAAAGATAAAATCGATCGGGGTTGGAACGGAAAGACGTCCAAAGGCTAATGTACCTAAGGGAGACGTCCATAGGCTAATGTAACTGAGGTAGACGTCCACAGGCTAATGTAACTGAGGTAGACGTCCATAGGCTAATGTAACTGAGGTAGGCGTCCACAGGCTAATGTAACTGAGGTAGACGTCCACAGACTAATGTAACTGAGGAAGACGTCCACAGGCTAATGCAACTGAGGTAGACGTCCACAGGCTAATGCAACTGAGGTAGACGCCCACAGGCTAATGGAACTGAGGTAGACGTCCACAGGCTAATGCAACTGAGGTGGGCGTCCACAGGCTAATGTAACTGAGGTAGACGTCCACAGGCTAATGCAACTGAGGTAGACGCCCACAGGCTAATGCAACTGAGGTAGACGCCCACATGCTAATGTAACTGAGGTAGACGTCCACAGGCTAATGTAACTGTGGTAGACGTCCACAGGCTAATGTAACTGAGGAAGACGTCCACAGGCTAATGCAACTGAGGTAGACGTCCCCAGGCTAATGTAACTGAGGTAGACGTCCACAGGCTAATGGAACTGAGGTAGGCGTCCACATGCTAATGTAACTGAGGTTGACGTCCACAGGCTAATGTAACTGAGGTAGGCGTCCACAGGCTAATGTAACTGTGGTAGACGTCCACAGGCTAATGTAACTGAGGTAGACGTCCACAGGCTAATGTAACTGAGGTAGACGTCCACAGGCTAATGTACCTAAGGGAGACGTCCACAGGCTAATGGAACTGAGGTAGGCGTCCACAGGCTAATGTAACTGAGGTAGGCGTCCACAGGCTAATGTAACTGGGGTAGACAATAACATAATTAAGGGAATGAAAACAAATAATTTGAAACAAGACAAGGACATCAGGGATGAACAGGTGGCGCATTAGATTCCGCACTCGCATTTCACCAAGGCGGACGGGGTTCGATTCCCCGAACAGACGTGAAAATGTATCGGGTCACCCCACCCCGTACGTGCTAAGATCTTGGCCGACAAGAGTGATGACACAAGACATCATAATTGTTATAAAATAGATGAAGTTTGATTTAAACAACAACAACAACAACAACAACAACAACAACAAAATACAATAAACAAAACAAAGAAAGTTACCAAGTAACTATAAAAACTTAACAAATATAAGTACTAGTAAGACATCAGGTTATATGTGTGTTCAATACCGACCTATATACTGTTTCGGGAGGTCAAAAAAACCTTCACTGTACAACGAAGACCGCGAAAATAGCAAAAGTAGAACCTGCTCATGAAAATCATCAACATTTCATCTAAATTTTGGGTACTATACTAAAGTATATTTACCCCGTGGAAAGTTAATCGGCAGGCAAGCGTCCCGATGAGATGGCTGCACTCCGGGGATCAGGGATATCTGTAAAAGGACAGTGATAGTGAGAAAACACATTACGTTGGTTCCGGGCTGCCTGCCTCATAGACTGTCGCAGACACGCAGGGGGAACTTCTGGCTCATAGACTGTCGCAGACACGCAGGGGGGACTTCTGGCTCAAAGACTGTCGCAGACACCTAGGGGGAACTTCTGGCACAAAGACTGTCGCAGACACGCAGGGGGAAATCTGGCTCCAAGGCTGGCGCAGACACGCAGGGGGAACTTCTGGCTCCTAGACTGTCGCAGACACGCAGGGGGAACTTCTGGCTCATAGACTGTCGCAGACACGCAGGGGGAACTTCTGGCTCAAAGACTGTCGCAGACACGCAGGGGGAAATCTGGCTCCAAGGCTGTCGCAGACACGCAGGGGGAACTTCTGGCTCAAAGACTGTCGCAGACACGCATGGGGAACTTCTGGCTCAAAGACTGTCGCAGACACGCATGGGGAACTTCTGGCTCAAAGACTGTCGCAGACACGCAGGGGGAACTTCTGGCTCAAAGACTGTCGCAGACACGCAGGGGGAACTTCTGGCTCAAAGACTGTCGCAGACACGCAGGGGGAACTTCTGGCTCAAAGACTGTCGCAGACACGCAGGGGGAACTTCTGGCTCAAAGACTGTCGCAGACACGCAGGGGGAACTTCTGGCTCAAAGACTGTCGCAGACACGCAGGGGGAACTTCTGGCTCAAAGACTGTCGCAGACACGCAGGGGGAACTTCTGGCTCAAAGACTGTCGCAGACACGCAGGGGGAACTTCTGGCTCAAAGACTGTCGCAGACACGCAGGGGGAACTTCTGGCTCAAAGGCTGTCGCAGACACGCAGGGGGAACTTCTGGCTCAAAGACTGTCGCAGACACGCAGGGGGAACTTCTGGCTCAAAGGCTGTCGCAGACACGCAGGGGGAACTTCTGGCTCATAGACTGTCGCAGACACGCAGGGGGAACTTCTGGCTCAAAGGCTGTCGCAGACACGCAGGGGGAACTTCTGACTCAAAGACTGTCGCAGACACGCAGGGGGAACTTCTGGCTCAAAGGCTGTCGCAGACACGCAGGGGGAACTTCTGGCTCATAGACTGTCGCAGACACGCAGGGGGAACTTCTGGCTCAAAGGCTGTCGCAGACACGCAGGGGGAACTTCTGGCTCAAAGACTGTCGCAGACACGCAGGGGGAACTTTTCACTGCCCGTTTGGAAATCGGAGTATCCGGAGTTGGTAAAGATGACCCAATACCTTTTCACGTCCGATCGGGGAATCGAACCCCGGTCGTCTTGGTGAAAGGCGAGTGCGCTATTGACAGCGCCATCCGACCGAACGGGCGATAAGCTTTTATAGTAATTACTGAATATATTCAAATTTTCTAGTTATATATGTGAGTATCCTGATTGGATGCCGTTTATAAGAAATCAATGTGTAACGTGTGATACTGTAGGACCGTATCAGAGTGTACTTCTCACTCAAAGCTGATAAGTCTAAGGATCGTTATGATGTTGTGTGATATTTGAAAAAAAACCGATTACAAGTCAAATGATAGAGCATAATTCGGATTAAATGATGATCATATCTACCTGCCGGTTTGAAGTCTGTATCCAGTTACGTAGAGACTATACCAGCGTTGTAGAGCACCACGTGTTTATTTCCGAATGCAGCAGTCTCCACGAGATATATATTTGCACTGACGCTAGCAAAGCACAGCCTACGCTAGCTTTCAATAGGTTGGGAACAGTTGTCGAAACACCATCTCTCTCAAAACCAACCACCATTAAAATCAGGACGAAATTTCTCCGGATAATTAAACATTTAATTGGAATTGCTTCCAAATTTATCAGTGACAGAGATTAAAGGCGAACGGACGGCGACATCGTGAAATAGCATTCAATTGCTCCATGAGTGATAAAGGATATTTAGTGTTGTTCATGATTCATTGTTTTCACAAATAAGTTAAAACTGTGATGAAATTCATAGAATAAGTTGAATTATTAAAAAGAAAAAGTGGTATAGTTTGTCTTAATGTCTGTATCAATATGAACAAACGGTACATAAAACTAGGGCGTTTATGTGTTAGCAGGTTCTTTTCCCCGGAAATCCGATGTATGCAGAGTTGTATTGAAATGGAATTCCAATGATGATATTCGCTATATGTGACAAAGTGTTCAGGCATTCATGCATGACCAGCAAGGACGTTATAACGTATTTATGAAAAGACAAATATTTTTAGGATGCACGTGGTAAGTTTGAGATGAAGATTTAATACAAGTATATTGGTAACTTTCTCTGTAATAATTACAGGCAACGATTTATAGATATTTGAAAGATAATAGGAAAGATGACAAAATGTCAACAAAATTGGGATATAAGTGAGATACCGTGAAAAAGTGCTGATATATGTTAAAACAAAAATTTCGGAACCAGTTTTTGAATGTATGATTTTATCCTAAGGAATTTAAGTGGGTGACTGTCGATGAACTACTGGTGTGAAATGCCGCTATAAACATACTAGTGTCATTAAGGCTACACAGTACCACAGAGGCTTCTTCATACGTGAACTATTGTTACGTGACAGAAGGAAATATACCACGCGCTTTAAAATCTTGGGGAACTAGATGAGACAATGCTAAAGCTCCGAAACTTTTGTTTGTATACAAACCTCTAAAAGCTGTTTTGGACAAGATTAAACCTCCAATACGTTTGTGTGCGGATTTCTAACGTTGAACGGGAAATAATTCTTCATACAACGAGTTCCCTATATTGTGTGGTGTGCTCATAGACCTGCAGTCATGGAACATCGTTTTGTGATGGCAATCTTGCAATGCTTCTTCCTAAAAGGTGAGTAATTTATCCTCCCCTTCCCTAGATAATTTAGTTTTTCAGAGAATCAGGGCTTCTTGTTACTGAGATTGTTAATCGCTGAATACCACAGTACATTTCCTTTTACGTTCTGCTGTTAACTAACTATCCATGCGTGTTCGCGGTATCACCAGGGGATTCAAGATGGCTTTCATTCCCTGTTGACCAGCACCATTCATTCTTTCGAACGAAACCTTTATTCGTACCATCAGATTGCTGAATGATTGGGATGATCCCGGGTTCAATATAACGCTCTTTTTAAATGCTTACACTGTTGAGTTAGGGGAGTATGTTCAATTACAAATGTGGTGTTAGAAAATAGTATTAATTTCCGAGTGTAGGGTTAGGGAAGAGTATTAAATTTACAAATGTAGAGTTAGGGAATAGTATTGATTTACGAATGTAGGATTAGTGGAGAATGTGCAATAACAAATGTATGGTTAGAGGATGTTATTCAAATACAAATTTATGATTTTGGGAAAATTATTTTATGTAAATATAGGGCAGGTGAGAGTATTTAATTACAATGTAGAATAAGCGGAGAGTATTCAATAAAAGTGTAAGGTTAGCGGAGAGTTTCCAATCACAAATGTAGAATTAGGGGAGAGTATTCAATTGCAATATTCAGTAAACAATGTAGGATTAAGGGAAAGTGTTCAGTTACAAACGTAGGGTGTTAAGAGGGAGTATTCTATTAATATTTAAGTGGGGGGGGGGGGATATTTATTTTTCAAAAGTAACATTGGGAAAAATATTTAGACTAAAATCATAGGGTAATCACAGATCAGTTATTTACCAAAGTATGACTAAGGGGAGATAATTTTGTTGGAAATGTCCGGCGAAGTACGCTGTCCGGTAATATAATATGATATACAGCGTTTGATATAGCGCCCTATCTAGCTTACATATGCCTATAATAAAATTAATACAATTCGCATATACATTAATAAATATAATTTTGAGATTTTTTATCAGGCACTAACTACTAATCCTATGCCACCTGGCTAATATCTCCCTATGTGTGTATGCCTGCCTGTGTGCTGGAGATATAGTGTGTTCTGTTTGTAGTGGGATCGTGCTTCGAACGGCTTCATTTATAGTGCCACCTCATTCGACCACATAAACGGATAATTCTGTGATTTGAGTAATATTATTTGCAATATCGATACATCAACATTGTTTCTACATGACATATTCGTTTTGTAAGAGTTGTGACTATTGCCACTTTAAGGTCTGTATCCACGGTCTTTCTTTATGAAATGACAAAAGAAAGGCCAACAAAATGTAACTTTATGCCGAACATTTAGCATGCAGAATCCTCTAGAAATAGTATTTGCAGGCGTACATGTATTGCTAAGGGCAGCTGTAGTACAAAATCAACATTACTTGATCGTCGAAGGCCACTTTAGGGCGAAAACTAAAACCTTGCACTTCGCCCAGCTCAACCCATCCACATGGAAGATAAAATTACGTCAACTATGAAGATGACATGCAAGCTTGGTTACGGTAGACAGCTTGAAAGTACATGTTACCTTTGCAGAGGGTTGCACGTGGCAGGGTTTTAGATGGGTACCGTCCTCCATGTTGAATCAGATTACCGTTCAAACCTACATGGATGAGCTTGAGGAATTTCTCAAAGACTTGTTTTTGTCTTCCTCTCAAATTGGTGATTTGCTTTTATGTTCTCAATACACAGGCAAAATTGCTTGATGTCAACTTGACCTGAACAAATCCTAAGCTGAAGTTGACCTGAATTTATCATGTCAAATTGAGGTCAATTTTTGACCTGATATTTACGTTTTGTTTGTGTTCTCTTCAAGTCAATTTGACATGAAAATTTGTCCTGAAATTGACATCAAGAAATTCTTGGATATATCTATTTTCTGTTCGCTTCTTGACAATCTTTTTGTTTCCTGACACCTTGATTGGCAATACCCCACTTTTTCAGTTTTGTATACTGTGAGGAAAGAAAAACGCATGCTACCGCGTGTACATGGAGTAATTTATGTGTGAGGTGTTTTGTGCAAAGGCGTGTCTCGTGTGTAAGAAGAGTGTAAGGGGACTAAGGGAGTTGATCGTTCCGGTATGACTATAGCATTGACAGATCATTTCTGTAACGAAACCCATACCTTTCGCGGAAAATGATTAGGATAAAATGACAAAATAAATGTATCAAGTGTATAAAAACAAGGTGGTTAAACCCGGATTCGAACTTTAGACTTCAAACTGTTAGACTGTCGCTCTGAACTTTGTTGACGGAAGTCTCCTGGCCCTATTGCGCTACTGTTATATAAAACACGAAATGAAGGAGAGGTTACTACATATAGGATAAACCACAGTAGATTCAGTAGAACTATCTCGTGTTTTGCCTACAGTGGGGCATACATCCGTAAGTGTAGTATATACAATGGGACATACTACCGTATATTTACCGTACGTAATGAGCATGTGTTTAAGGTCTGTTTTCCGTGTGTAAAGACAATTACGTCGTGTAAAAATCTACCTATATGAAAGGGAGTATACCTTTTGTTAGGGATAAGGATTGTGACTTTGCCGTATGTAAAGGAAGTTACCTTGTGTTAGGGATGAGGGTTGTGATTTTACCGTATGTAAAGGGAGTATACCTTGTGTTAGGGATGAGGATTGTGACTTTACCGTATGTAAAGGGAGTATACCTTGTGTTAGGGATGAGGGTTGTGACTTTACTGTATGTAAAGGAAGTTACCCTGTGTTAGGGATGAGGGTTGTGATTTTACTGTATGTAAAGGGAGTATACCTTGTGTTAGGGATGAGGGTTGTGACTTTACCGTATGTAAAGGGAGTATACCTTGTGTTAGGGATGAGGGTTGTGACTTTACCGTATGTAAAGGGAGTATACCTTGTGTTAGGGATGAGGGTTGTGACTTTACCGTATGTAAAGGGAGTATACCTTGTGTTAGGGATGAGGGTTGTGACTTTACCGTATGTAAAGGGAGTATACCTTGTGTTAGGGATGAGGGTTGTGACTTTACCGTATGTAAAGGGAGTATACCTTGTGTTAGGGATGAGGGTTGTGACTTTACCGTATGTAAAGGGAGTATACCTTGTGTTAGGGATGAGGGTTGTGACTTTACCGTATGTAAAGGGAGTATACCTTGTGTTAGGGATGAGGGTTGTGACTTTACCGTATGTAAAGGGAGTATACCTTGTGTTAGGGATGAGGGTTGTGACTTTACCGTATGTAAAGGGAGTATACCTTGTGTTAGGGATGAGGGTTGTGACTTTACTGTATGTAAAGGGAGTATACCTTGTGTTAGGGATGAGGGTTGTGACTTTACCGTATGTAAAGGGAGTATACCTTGTGTTAGGGATGAGGGTTGTGACTTTACTGTATGTAAAGGGAGTATACCTTGTGTTAGGGATGAGGGTTGTGACTTTACCGTATGTAAAGGACTTTACCTTGTAATCTAGAGGTACGATCATCCCCGAGGATGGTCGTACAGTGTACATGGTGACTATTTGTACAGGGAAGGTACTGTACATACTAATTACTGTGTGTCACCACAGGGACCTGAGAACTTGTTACAGCTATATTTGGACCCAAACTAAGATGTTCAGAGTAATTTTACATAGCCGACCCCACCTAACATTCTTGTGTCAAAAACAACATTTCTAATTGAACTACGGGAAAATGCTTAGTACCGTTGGAAAGATGGATGAATTTTCTTTTAAAAACCTACTATATGCACGTAAAATGTATACTCCTTCCACGGACATGATCTCTGTTTCCTCAAAATACACATGCAATTTCAGAGTTTCAGAGTTTTAATATTAATGAGATTGAGGTCAGCGCATGCCGAGACCCGCGGTGTGATTGGCTGGAAGCGCAGCCATGTTTTCGCTAAACCAACCAATAGTGCATGTTTCGGCACGCGCTGGCCTCAACCTCATTAATATTTAAAAAAGTGGCACGATGACTGCAATAAACTTTGTATTTTATTATTAGTAGTATAAAAATGATGTATATAAAGTGTGTTATATACTCCGAATCAAATACTGTAAAAATGGAAATTCTTGCGAGTTGAAATCTTCGCGCTGTGACTTTTTTAACTAATCATATTCGCTTAATCTGCAGATAAATATTCACGTGTGAATATTTCGCGCTTACGCGAGTATTTCCACACCGTTAACATTTCCGTTTTACAGTTAACAGTCCCGTTTCTGTGTAGGTCAGTGATACAAAACAAAATGTACAACGGCTGTCGATTTTTTGGTTTAGAAATACGCAATCTAAAAAATATATCTTTCACTAAAGAAAAGAGAGGAAATAATACATGGAATTTGACAGATTTGTTTCAACTCCTGTTGCTGAACGTCAAATTGTTTACTCCCACTTACTGAAATAACTAACTAGGAATGAACAAAAGAAATCCATGCACGTGATTGAGCGAGCGGAGCCGTGTTACGGAGGAAGATTAAAGGTACTCCCTCGGTCGAGAAACTCCTACCCATGACGTAATTGTTATAACACTCCTCCATTACAATAGCTCATAACAAGGGCGTGTATTGATAAACTCGGGCATTATTTGTACAGAATGATATATATTTTAGAAGGAAGCCTTTTCGATTCTCGGCACGCCCATTTTTAATATTCGATATTTATTCCTAAACGTTGCCCTGTAACGCGTTCTCAATACACTGTACAACTTCAAAAAGAAAACAACAATAGTTTTCCGATATTAAGGATGTATTTTATAACCTTCATTATACGTATACCGACGGCCAAATTATAGCCCTCGTGTTCATAAAAATGAACTAGAGCTTTCGAGGGTGTGATTTGCAAAAGGTTAATATTGTTTTAGAATGTACATATAACTACCTTAGTAGAGATACAAATTTACAGAAATCTATCAACTTTTTGTAACAAAAAGTATGACTATATCATAAAGTGGTTTATTACCCTTTAGACATTTTTCTGGAATACCGTTTATAAAAAAACG